TTGGGCCCAAACACAAAGTGCCCAGGACGGTCGAAGGAGTCGGTCCTTGGTCCCAAACACAAAGTGACTCAAATGGCAAAATATGGCAGCCTTTGGTCTTGAGTTGGTTCATAAACAAATATTTTCCGAACCCATAAAATAATCGCAGCATAAATTCTTACTCTACACCAAGAAAATCTTAAACCTCAAAATCTTTGACTTGTCCCAAAGGTTGAATCCCTAAAAAAAATAAAAACGAAAAAGATGTTAGATCCAATCTTATAACAACAATACTAAAAAAAAAAGTTACTGTTCACGTGAATAGTGTACGACATTATTCACGTGAACAATGTCGTACACTGTTCACGAAAAAAATCGTTAAAATTTGAGAAAGAAAGAGAGAGAGAGAGAGAAGGAAAAAAAAACCAAACAATTGGTTTCTACCAAACGGCAGAAACCAAATTTTTTTTGGTTTCCGCCGGGCGAAAATCATTAAAAAAAAAGGTGAAAAGAGGGAGGGAGAGAATAAAAAAAATATAATCTAATATCTCTTACCTTTATCTGCAAATTGAATCTTTTGTTTCAAAATTTTATAATTCGTTCCTATAAATAGGTAAGTATGAGGTTTCACGTAAACCCAACTTACCATAAAACATAAAAAGTCTATTAAATAAATGAATAAATCAAGTAAATCAAGAATTGTGTAAAATAAATAAATAATCGAATAACGATTACTTCAAAAAAATCGAAAATCGAGATTTACTAATTTATTTATTTCATAATAAATTTTGAGGGGGGTATTTGTAGACATAAATAAATAAATAATGGGTTTGATCAATTTAAATAATTAGTTCAATTAAACTAAAACCTAATAAGTCCATAAGATTTTAAAAGCCCACCCTACTTTTTTTAAAATCCACAATTATTCAATTATGATCAATTTAATTGAATTAATTGAGTGACTACCAAAATTGGCCAAGAATTTCTCCTATAAGTAGGATGAAATGTCCATTGAAAAAGAGAAGCAAAAAGTGAAGAAGAAAATCACGAAATGCTAAAGAAATCTCAAAACCAGAGGGAGAGAAGAAATCCTCTCAACCCAAAGTCCGGCGAACACGAAGAAGATCAAAATCTTCTTCAAATCAAGCATACCAAGAAAATCAAAATTTTCTTCGA